AAATGGTTAAGTAGGTATTAGGTRCTTGTATACATATTGACATTTAAAGTTTAAACATATTGTTATTGTTTACGACAGTGTACGTTATTATAATGTACATGAGTATAGGTACCTATTATTAGTAGATATCTATTATCAAAGGATGATAACTTAAAATTCTAAAGACTCGCGTTGTATATAATAATTTTACTGACTTTTGTACGTTTTGAATCAATTTAAAATACGTGAAATCTTTAAATGTTAATTTCTAGACGTTTTAACGCTATGTTACATGACGATATTAAATAGATTTGATGTAATTTATTTTATTGAGATAGAACTATAGTGAACGTTGGAGAAGTAAATCCCAAGAACGACCTGTCCAATTGTACTGAGCCTTTGTGAACTTATTCGACAGAATTTCCCAGCACACGGATTCGTCTTGAATACGAAAACAATCAAGGGGACGTCGAGCGGCTATAAAAATGTGTAATTGATGCTGTATTCACTGCACGTACACAAAACCGCACTAACAAATTTCTACTAAACACTTTCCCGGATGCTTAATTCCTCTTTTGTCACGCCTAAGGGGAGAGACCGGGAAAGGACGAGGGATGGGGATTACGTCGCACAGACTTAAAATGGAGCTGACGAGGCCTAYGGCATTTCCCTAAAATAAGATGAAAATAATAAAACGAAAATGGTCCTAGTCGCCAACATCGCGTCATCTTGACGTATTATTTATCAGTCGATTGGTAATTTTATCATAATTAAATTATCCATTATATAATATAATACGACATTTAAATAATAATTTATATTTASCTGAAACGATATTATTAGGTATAAATGTATAATGCGTTACTTCCTACTGGTAATTTGTGATGATTATAACATTACATAATAAACTCTAAGAACATTTATTGATTATATTTGGAATATTTGTTTATAGTTAAGAAAATTTAACTACAGCATCACAACACTACAGGCACTTATAATTATAAACGTTTGAAAGATTTGAAACAATAGTAATAATTTATATGAATATCACAAATATTGAGGTATTCTAATTTCTAGTAATAGTAATAGTAAACAGTATTATAAATCATATTAGTAAAATAGTAAATACTAATCTTTGTTTTTATAAAAACCTAATATTATCATGCATTACCTAACTGTTTATAATTTGTTCATACACAATTATAAATTATAATATATATTATGACTTATGTCTTATAGTCTATAGAACACATTTTAAGCTCTATTGCTGTTGTTTTAACTATTTTAATAACCGTAATAAAGTAATAGTTTAAAAGTACGATTAAGAATTAGTTTATAAAGTATGACACTAGATAATTACATAATTTTATAAATATGCATATACCTTATACTTACAATATATAGTATTAATATACCTAGGTTTATGGTTAGCGGCTAAAATTAACACTAATTTATACATACTTAAGTACACAAGAGGTACGCTACAGCAGTCGAGAAGTATAGTAGTTTTTAAAATACACAAAATAAATGATTACGATACGAAGAAATTTTCGTTATAAGCTCATATCAATTATACCTACTGCAGGTAAATTGTACATTGTAATTATAATTATATTATATTATATATTAATTATTTATATTATATATTTGTTATATATGTTTGCTCAGCCAACAAGACACGAGTCATTAGGGTGATTAGTGTTAAACGACAATGTTGATAAATATTTTACTTTTTAATGATAGTTAAATTATATAGTTTTTTGAATATTTTTGCCATTGTATACTACGCTATTTTCATAATATATGTAAATATAAGCTATACATATCTATGTAAAAAGAGCTCAGCCCGTAAAAATATATAAAATAAATAATATTGAAATCGAATGCAGCTTTTGAGTGGACTTTTTGCGTACGTTATARCTACTATAACTAGGACACATTGCGGGGATGTGGGGATAGGATGATCATTTATATGCGTATTTTTGTAATGTATCCAAGAAAAAGTATAAAATACAAAAAAAAAAATGTAAATAAAAATAAGAAATTGTATGTTAAAAAAAGCTATTGCAGAGACGTCGGAACAATAAAAATCAGAATTTCGAGACGACAAAACCTTGCGGTTTCGTATTCAGTGATGGTGGGTTGAAGGGTGGAAAATTATCATTTTTTACTGTTAAACAGCCATATTTATGGCCGAATATATATTATTTGAATATAAAAGGCGAAGGATATGAAAAATCGTCGAGGGGGTCATATTGCCGCGATGGCTTTCCGTCTATCCCAGTATACCGCAGCATGGCAACACCGAACCGGAGAACATTATTCTTTAACGACTTCCACAAGGCATTTATCTTTTCGCAGGTCCTGGAATATATTTATTTTTTTTATCCCTCTCTGAATATTCTCTTTTATATTAGAAAAAGAAACATCATAATATTATTTGTATTTATATATATTATATAGTTATTATATACATATCTATTTATATATTCTGCTGCCTCTTCTTGAATATTTTATATATACACTTTCTGAGATGACGGAAACTCGGCATGACATTAACCCGAATAATAACGACATTAAAAAATTGTGTTGACTAAAAGTGTGTTTTTTCGTTTCGGTTATTTTTTTTTCATTCGGGCTCGCTTTTTCTGTACAAAACAAAAGTCGTTTCATGCTTTATCCGGTTCGAGTTTCCGTCAGATATAGTTTCATCAACCCTGGGTAAATTGATATAAAAAATACTATGGTTAGGTCTTTTATACAGTATACATGCGCCACACAGTTCTATACTATTTATAGTTTATAATGTGCATTTTAATTCGAATTTTTCCTTTAATTATTAACTATTAATACCTACAATTGTTTGATGGTCCTTTGTTATTTTATCATTTTATGCTTCAAATTGTTGTTATTATACTGGAGTTGGCATTTTACATTGTATAAATATTATTTACAGTGAGTTTATTTTCTAATTATTTCTATTTAATCCCATAATTTATTCAACTTATGCGGCTTATTTTCCGAATTAATGTTATAGTCAATAGTCGTTTTTCATACTTATTGACTATTGATAGCTGAAATATAATAATGCATTATATTTTGTACCGACCTTAAATAAAAATATACGGACGTCGAACGTCATGCATTTAAAATTGTCATAATACACACGTTCAATTAATCATATTAAATTATTAATATAAGTTTAGAACTGAAATTGRAATTGGAAAGTAAATGATTTTGTTTTATTATAYCTASATACTAATACATATTATTTTATATTGATATCATATACATAATATGTTTATAAAAAGTAAAATTAATTTAAACATTTTATGAATTTATATCCTTTAGAAAAAAATGATTCTTAAACATTTAAAAAAAGTATTAGGTTACGGGTCACAACATATGTTATTATTTATTAATAAGCATACAAATGCAATATGAAATGATTTAACAATTTGACGTGTTTTTTTTTTAAATGGTTTTCAGTAGATAATTATTTTGTTTTATAATTTATTTATTTTTCAATGTAATATTATATTAGCCCTGAGGTTAATAAAGAACAAGTGCCATAGACTATAGAGAATAGATAAGAACAGAGCTAAGATCCACCAACCATTTATTTTGAAAGGTGAGAGTACTGTGCAAWTTTTATTATTCGTTATTACGTTAACGGACAACAAATTTACAAAAAATAAACAATGTTATTCAGCCGTGCAATAGCCAATAAAATATATATAGTATATATATTATAAACCACTRACTAACAATCCTATATTCCTATTCTAAATAATATTTATACATACGCTTACATACAAGTAGATGGGTTATTAATAAAACTATGTTTATGTGGAATGTAGATTAGTAGATAAATAATATTATTTGTTTGAAAAAAAGCGATGGTTCAAGCCTAAGCTTAGTCCTAAATYCAGCTATGACAATACCGTCATTGATATAATAATCGACGAGAAAAATGCAATTATAGGCATTAAATGTTTATAAAAATTAACTATTCTATGATTTTAAGCATTGTATAATATCTTAAACATTTCTTCTTCATTATATATATTTTATTTCACGAAACAGATTTCTAGATATCGGTTACGCGTCCACTTTATGTTTGTTGACCTTTCATAGTTGGCAAATTACTCTCCAAATCTCGAGTTTAAGATAATTTTCAAATTCATATTATTTTATGAACAGTTATGGTAATACTTTGTCTGGGCGGATCGCATATTATTAAATATGAACGACATTTGTGAAATACACTCGAGTCCACTTATCGCGTTTTAATGAAAACTCGCATACGCACACCACACACACGTACACATATAGATCGGTTTACATTGTAAAATATAAAATGTATTCATCGGCATCAATAGCAGCTAGCTAGGGCTCTCCATCGTTTTCTGCCACAGTTTTAACCCCACTCGCATAGCATAAGGCCACTCGACTTTTAGACCACATGGGCATACGACGTAATAATATAATATATACATATACATACGCCATACGTGCGTTCACGCTCCGGGTTCAGATTTTATTGTTTTTTAATTTCTTTCTCTCGCACTCTCCCCAAATTTAGTCCAGTCCCAACCCCCCACTACACTATTCTCTCCYGTGCACCCCTCGGCGGCCGGACAACATCTCTCGCGGTGCAATATACTATTCCTATAAATATAATAATATACTACACACACATACTTACACGGTCGCGGTCAGGCTGCAAGTACGGTGGGTACGACGAGAGAATGGGTGGAAAACACACGCATACCAAAGCGCGCTCAATCCTCATATACTCACTCGCACGCGCTTAGAACATGATAATAATAATATTATAATATTATTTAAAACGATGCGAACCGTATAGTGACCGCGCGGGGCGTCGGCGGCACAGGGCATATGCGCCGAGCCACCCCCGGTTAGCTGGGATTGGTCTAGCCCGGTCCCGCCCCCCCGAATACACGCCACCGAGTCTTCGTATGTTATCTCGGGCAGCACGTGCGCCGCGGGGACGAGTGTATCGCCGGCGTTCGAAACGGTCGCAAGTGGATTGATGCCGTTTGCCTTTGCGGAATAACGACCCGTCCTGATTCGTGGATGAATACAGGTAAGAATAACGATATACATATTTTATTTTATATTAATAATCATTGCGATGGTAATATTTAAGTTGACGAATAGGATATGTGGTTAGGTATATTATATTATTATGTTCTAATAATGCTTGTAAATTTATAATAATAGATTACAATATACCTACTATTTTTCCCGAATGTTTACGACGGGATTCATGATACTATATCGATAATATTTAATATAATATCGTCCGATTTACGATCATTTTTATTTCGTGAATTATTTTTTGACTAGTAACGATAGTATGTAAACCGTTTATTTTATACAATATGTCAATATGCATATTACCATCTATAGATAATATAGGTACACGGTACACGTAGGTAAGCGATCATTGAGCATTTAAAAAGTCAACAAAATATGTCATTATATTATAATAGATAGATTTAATTAGTGTTGGGTACGATAATCAGAGAGTTCTATGTCTGAATAAGAATTAATAACCTAAAACAATATTATTAAAAGTAAAATTAATTTATAAAAATAAAATAATGTGATTTGAATCATTGTTCCGAAATTCATAGAATTATACAATAATACACACACATTACTATAAAATATAAATTATAATGTACGTTGTACATAAATCATTTTATTATTTTAATAACATTGTATTAAAAACTAATACAAATTAATCACATTTTTAAAATAAATGTTTACAGTATAAGGTATAGTCTTTTAATAAACAGCATTTAATACTTTTTTCTATCACAATCCAACAACACAAATTTACCTACTAATTACAAATCGACAATAAATTCTATCAAAAGGTAGGATGTTTTTCGTACAAGATTTATTTTTAAATTCGAAAGTTTTCATTTAAACTATGAACAACAAGATTTGCCATTTAATATAAGGCTAAACTCTGATGTCGAAAGTTTTATTATCATGACCGTTCTTTTCTTCAATTTTTATTGTGGCCCATGGTTGTCGTTCTCCTGAAGCAAATATACCATAGAATACTGCTCCAAACATATATATACCACTAGAAATTAAAAACACCCATTGCCATTCTTCTGCGCTCTAGGAATATAATAATTAATAATTACATTAGTTCCTGAATGAAATAAAAGTATAGAAATACTAACTTTGTTTTGCACTATAATACCGGCCAACATAGGGCTTACAATTCCAGGTATAGTTGCAAACGTGTTGGAGATTCCTAATAAAATGCTGGCGTACTGAGGTGCTATATCCAATGGGTTAATGCTGTAATTTGCAATTCAATAATTGGGTTAGATTTAAGTCACTTTTCTATCGATAAAAAAAAAAAAATAATTACCTGAATCCTGACCAAGCAAACGCTCCAAGACCCACTGCCATCGTTAAACAAATTATAGATCCAATTTCAGATGTAGAATTCGATGCTAAATACATAAATATAGTTTGGCTTACAAAAGCACCACAGTTGAAAACCTTTCGCACCTGTAAAAATGATTTTGGAGAATTTTTAAATTTATATACTGCAGTAGTTTTATAAGACATAATATATAATATATAAATACATACTTGTGTAGTAGTGAGTATTTCATTTTTTCGAAGCCAGTCTACAAAAAACCCACTAAATTGGAGAATAATGGACATTACGAGGTATGGTAGAGCTGACAGTAAACTTCCTTTTCCAATGTTAAACTTCAGTACATCTGTAGACCAAAAAACAAAAATAAATGACAAAGTTATTTATTTAGTTAGAATTGTATAATTACCATTCATGTAGCTAGGTAATTGTGTAAGTAATGTGTAGAAACCCCAGTTTTCGCAAAAATGGGCACACGTTATTGCCCAAACCGGCTTCGATGTTAATATATCTTTCCAGGGATAGTCTACAAAGCTGGCTGTAAAAAAATTATATTTATGAAATAAATAAAATAAAGTATCGAAACAATGCATTTACTTTTGGTGTCATCCGTCGGACCTATTGAATCAATAATGTACTTGAGCTCTTCTTTCGTGATGTGTTTGTCTTCTACTGGAGATTCAGTAATACATGTCAACCAAACTATACACCAAATTATAGCTAGTAAACCTATAAACACATGAAATAATGTCGTTTTATTATGCTACTACTGTAGGAGGACAACGAAAAAGGAGGGATTCACATGACTTTGGAATTTGGATAGTGAATAATGATGCCAAAATCAATATTGACAACATTATAATTTTTTTTACGATGCGTATTATGTGTATATAATGGTATTTTGACAAAATAAATATTTATAAATAATATATACTTACCTATTGGGTATTATTATACCTACTATTGAACTTTTAAATTATTAAGTTATTACATCTTAATAATAGTTCAACATCATTTTATTGAGCCAATAAATATACTATTATTATTTCAACATATACCTGGTACGTAAAACGTAGATGGCCAACCGTATTTTTCTGCTAACCAACCACACATCGGGTATCCGATGACCGTGCCCACAAAACTGCCGGAAAAAGCAAACGATCCAAGTCGCGTGCGTTCCGCGGGTGGCGCCCATCTTGACCATACAGCATGTATGCCAGGATATACAACTCCCTGAGCACAACAATAGTGTAAGTTTCAATATCATTGTTGATATTTAGTGGGCAGAGCGAATCGCGTATATAGATTTGTATATATGTACCTCGAACACTCCCTCGATGACTCTGAGCACAATGACTAGATAAACCGAATATCTGGCAGCTAGGGGGGTGAGGATCGTTAGGATTGCGGTGCTAAAGACTCCGTAACCGATCAGTTTCACGCCCCCTATCTTTGCACCCAGCAAACCACCGATCAGTTGTGTAGAAATGTATCCATAAAAGAACGAACTCAAAATTGCGCCACGAAGTTCTGGGCCCCAGTCGAATTCGCTCGTCTGCAATCAAAACATTTTGTAATTATATTATAATATATATATTGTACACAATAAAAACATTTTTAAATATTTTCGCGAGATTATTTAATATTGTTTTGACTCTGTAAAATTATTAATTCCTCTCAGTTCGAGTTGATTATAGTTTTTTATTCAACGTTAATTTAATGTTCATGTCATATGTAAATAAAACTAATAAATTATTACCTGAGATTATGTCCAATGAAAATGGATTTGGTCCATAATTCAAAAATACGTGGGTACACTACAGCCATTCAGCCATTGATATGTCTATTTATATCAATGTGATTAATCATATTTTTAATATTACATATTATAGTTTATAAAATGTCAACACCATTCGACTTTCATTTAGAGCGCGTGATTTTATCTTCGAGAACACTAAGTTATCAACAATAAAATATGCGCAAAAAGAAAGTGGAATGGCACCTATATGCGAGTGTTTGCGGTCGTATATTCTATAAACTACACCACCTCACGTTTTAGTATGCTGCAGTCAGTGTATTATAATCAGAGTAAAAAATAATTGCAAATTGCATATTAATTTTAATTTCATTAAATAAGCTATAGCAGAGTTTGAGATACTTTTACAAGTATTATAGTGGTTTTTCTTGTCCACATATATTATGGATAAAAACGTATTGTGTATGTACATAGAACTGACCTCAAATTAATGATAACATTTCTCGTTTTTACTTTCATTTCTCGAGGCGTTCTCGTGATGATAATATTATGTACCTATGKTGTATTCGAAACTATTAACACGCACGTCCGTAACGCTAATGTATGAAACAAAAAATGTGCTGTTAGATAAAAGATAAAACTATAAAAGTGTTGAATAAATCAAGAGTTGCGATTATACGCAAACGATACACACACGCTAGACGTGCGTGTTTATACGATTCACGTTCACCGGCGTGTTGCGTGTAGAAAATGAACGTATTGGGGGACAGACGAAAACCTGATAAGTTTCAAACGTCAATAATATTGCAATCGGCAAAAAATCACATTAATAACTACAACTCACCCGCGTGTCTGAGGACGACGTCATGGCTACGATTCCGACACTCAAGTTCACCCGAAGGGTATAGACGTTGAAGAAACCCAGAAATGCCAGGAACGCGACCAAGTTCCTGCGCTGTTTCCAAAACGGTGGTTGGCCATCGCTGTGGGAAATACAAAATACAACTACTCATATCATACATTGACGAACACTTTCAAAATGTTGTATTATATATATTTTATATTCTTGTGTAGTCGTCATTGCCGTCAGTGACCACTAAACGTATAGCAAATATTAACAACATAGTATGTACCTAAGGTTTTCAGGTGGCCGGTCCATGTCTAACTGAACGCTCTCTGCATGCAGCAGTGGCACGAACGACTGTTGCGGGTTTATTAGAATGTTATTCTTATACCACTTCCTCGGTCGACGGTTTAGTAGTTGCTCATATAGTTCGGTGGCGTCTACCTCTCTAACCGTCTTGGAACCTACTTCAATACATAGGTAGGTAGTCTCAATCGAGTGAGGTGCTCATAATATTATACACGTCATGACTCGTAGTGATATCGTTTTGTTGTACTTACGTAACACGTCGGCGCGTAACATTCAAATAATGATTGAATAAAAATCACACATGTACATACCGAGAACTACACTTTTCGCGATATTATTATAGGTAGGTTTATCAATTTAAAAATGCATTCACAATAATTATTCGTTAAGACCGATACCTAGTGTACCCATTATAATATTGTGACCGGGTAGAAACTCTGTATACAGTAATTAATAAGCTATTGGCTGTCGTCGATTTGACTAATATTATTATAGCCTTTAATTATCTAATTGCATATTGAGATTCTACGCCTAGGTGGGATCTTGATTATAAAATGTTCGGTGTATACCTATATTTTATCAAACAAAAGTGTTAGTTGTCATAATCATCTAGCCCTTTTTGATCAACAAGTGGTCAGTTTCTCGTTGCTCAACGTTCCGTATAGAACATTATTTCATACTGCGGTTTGAGATTGAATTCATATAGTCTAAAACCACTCACACATACATTATATGGAACATTTGCAGTGGTACTTTAAATCAATGATGCGTTTCTAAGTATAATAAGATACATATAATCAGTGCTTAAAATTTTTGTACTTTGTTACTACACTCCCAATTTTTCATTTATTACTGAACTCCTTGCAAATTTATCTTCTATAACTAATTGAATTACTTATATACATAAATATGTGTTTATCAATGTATACTTTTATTTAAATTAATTAAGTCTTTTACATTACCGTGGTTGTGTTGTTTTAACTGGAACAAAGACACATAAGTTTGCTTATAGAGGATTGATAAATGTCATTCTGATTTAAACGTAAGCGAGATATTCAATTTGATTGAAGCCATTACCGTCGCATATTTTAGATGTAACGTATGAACAAAATGTTTTTATTGTACATTTGAAGTAACAAATCATGGCTTTGGAAAATGTATTGCTTGGTTATATTTTATTATGATATTTTAATATAAAAAGCTTATTTAGCATCAATTATTCAAAAAGTTTTTTTTTAATTAAGCTTAGGTGCATCCTTTTTTTAAATCCAAATATTGTATGCAATTTTTTTTTAAATTTTTACGTTAATTACCTTTATTAATACATACTCTTTTAACCCGCGTACAGATTTGCACATATTTTCGAATATTAAATAATATTTTAAAGCATCAAGTTCACAGACCTGCGTTGAAACTGATAGACAATACCATATCAAGTTTCATTATAGTTTTAGATTAAAACTGATCGTGTCTATCGCATATTTTAATTTATTATATTATCATAAAAAATGCTGATCATTCTACAATTCTCTAATGCCAACCATATTACAAAGAATTCAGTTTTTTACTGTAAAAATTAAAATGATTTTAATTTTTTATAAATGTTAAATATAAAGAAAAATAATTTTTTTTAATAATAAATAAAAATTGCAGAACGCAATACACTGAGTATAATATATTTTGGTCTGCATAATATTCCGAATTTTCTACTGCGCTTCGTATGCGGTACTGTATAGTACTGTATAAAACAGTTAACAAAAGTTTCAGTATTTTTAGGACCTGTATTATTTATATTCACACTATACATCATTGATATTAATATATAATATATTATACATTATTGCCCATTATTGAACTCATAAGTACATAACTTTAAAGGTTATAGGTTCATATAATAATAATGTTGTATGGTAATTAAACACCTGTTGTGTCATATTACACCGAACTTAATTGAAATAATTTAGTGTTGGCTATATTATATATGCTTTTATATAATTTAAGAAATCATGATCTACGTGATCGATAAAATTTGATTTATTTAAATCATACCAAAACATAATAATTTTTAATTTTTATAAGTGGCTTATAAAGTTATGAAATAGAAATTAAATAGTTATTAAACACGCTACCTCATTAAAATAATTATACGTTTGTAAAAGTCATTAAGATATATCAAAGTCTAACAAACACGTTACATATAACGGATAAAAACAGTAAACTATTTATTATTTGATTACAATTTACAATACTATTACCTATAGGCAATAAAATAGGTTTACCAATCCAAATTGATTTGTGTCCTAATTTATTATACTTTAAAATACATATTATACAAATTAATATCTCTATACAAAGACATAATTCAACTTGATAAACATAGATAAAACAACATACCTGATGTTCATATAATTTTAATTCTTAATCCATCATAATTGCCTGTTGATAGTACAATATTTCACATAATATATTTTATATAATGCACACAGTATTTCATTAAATATTAAACACTCGTTAAATTATATACATATATCATTATGAAATTATAAGTATAGGTATTAACATTTTTGATAATACATGTTTTACATATTTTGAATTCTGAAGTCATTACAAAATATAATTTTATAAATTAATTTTTTTTTAATTTATTGATCATTTACAACTTCGGCAACAAAGGCCATTAGTTATTTTATTTTTAACATTTTTGTAAATAATTGCATATCCTAATGTAAAAATGCAATAAAAGAAAAAGAAAAACTAAGCTTAGAATGTTTAAATGATCAACCAATGGCCATGAAAACTTAAAAAAATATCAAAATCTTTTTAAGACTTTAATTATTTTAAAATGCAACATACATTTTCGATTTCATACTGTGTAACAGAATATTTTTTGATAATTTCAAACTAGTATTTTAGTAAATTGGTCATTAACCCATAAGTATTCAAAGTTCAGATGAGCAAAGTAGTGGACCAATACTTTGTGGGTTATCCTTACAGTTAACTCTGCTTGTTAAAAATACTTCAAAATCTTATAAGTTATAACTTATTAACTAGCTGTTCAAAATTTGATTTTTATGCATTGAAATTCTAAGTAAATTTTATTTTAAAGAATATTTAATGTTGTTCTTCAACAAATTAAAGAAACTTGATAACTTATATCGATAAAAAATTGTAAGAATAAATTMAAATAATATAAAAATAAATTAATACGAGTATGTTCATAATTTTTGATATGAATTTTCTCTGAATCCAATACAATTATAATATAATATAACCTATATGTCTTTGAATTGTATTCTTACGGTAAAAAGAGTCGTACCTACACGATGACTGTCATGAGATAAATCTTTGTTACTGTCTATTTTATACCTATGAATAATTTTAGTTTTGTTGTCACATCTAAAACTGATGTACATTTAAATTCAACCATGGTGTAAAACACTGATCACGAGTTACGTAAAATATTATATAACAATTATTATCTTTATAATATTTGTGTTATATATTTTTGAAGTGTATTTTCCAAAATGCAATAAATGTGAAATACGATAAAAATAACCATGATTAATAGTACATAAATACATAATATGCAATAATAATAGTCACATTGCAAATATTTGTATTTTTTCTTTACACAATTTTCCTGGCATAAATCAACTAAACTTTGGTAAATAGATTTAACATTTTTATAATTTTTACAACAGATATCAATATATAAATATACTGACTTATAAGTTAGACGTTATTATGTATTTAATTTTAAAATCTTAGATACTAATAAGCAGATATGCGTGACGTATGATACATTCACAATTTAATAAAATTACCATAGAGTGTGAATAAGATATGAGAAAGAAATTTTCAAATAATATACCTTAGAGCGAATATCAGACGAGAAGTTAGGTATGTGCTATTACGATAAACATATAAAAACAAAATAATTTACTATTTTCGTTTGATTAAAATTCAATCTACACACGAGTATAATATAAGATTTTCTTCAGAACTTTTGTGGAAAAGTTTTCTAACACGGAAGTTTAAAAATAACACATTCACAACTCCAAAATGCCGTTAAACCAATTTAATATAACAACTTGGTTTATCCGTTCAGAATCTGATTAATTATATAAGTACCTACCTAATACCTATACGATTAAAAATATATGCAAAATTATTTATGTTTACAAAATAAATAATATACATATACCTATTAGTATAATTAAATGTAACATGCTAATGATAGATTACGTATAATTGTATTTTATTGTCGTGTACATTCACGTGACAAATTTAAATATTATTGTCGTTTTCGAACATGCGTACCTATACGAAGAATAACGTTAAGTTTGTTGTAAAGTYGTTTCAATCGTTACGAATACGCAGGACGTCCTTCCGGTATTCTCCCCGTGTACGATCGCTATATTATTACATTATTACACATTTACACCCAGCCACACAGAGGGGTAACGAAGTAATTGAATATGCCGCACGCCAATGTCGTTACATTATAATTCCATCACCTGTATTATAAGGTCAATATTTTTACCATCGGCTTCTACAGTTGCAGCACGTTTTCGTTGTCGAAACATAATATTACTTCTTTATTATAATTATAATGTTCTGTTAAAAGATTAGGATCTGAAAGGCGTATTATCAATGCATAATATGTGACATTGTCACAACATCACAATAGACGTTGGTTAGGTATTGTTACAATAAACAATAATAACTGCTCATCTGTTATTAATTTATTATAATAGCTGTTCTCATTTCTATTCTTTCTTTGTATATAATCATATAAACAGTTATAGTTTGTATTGAGTCTGTCGAGTCTGACTATTTTAATAGCAAACGTTATACGGATTTTTTTTTTAATGCTTATAGATTCGAATCAAAAAAGAAAATTAAACAATTGATTAAGATACGCTTTTCTTACATATTATGCATTTTTAGTCCTTTTCATTCTCACTCGTCGTTTTTCGTCATTGAAACATATTATATTATTACATCCTATTCCGACCTTTAATCAATAATAGTCATTTATATTGTTTATGATTATTTATTGCGTTTGTCCAGACCCGTTGCAAATAATTGCAAGACAAAAATAATTACTTGCTGTGCATTAGCCTTTTGGAGTATATTACGTACTCAATGTGACAACTAAAAACGATAATCTTATGCGTCGACTCGTGGTTTCAGATTACAACCGTTTTAGCAGAATGACAATGGACGTCCATCAGCACAGAAACGTGACGACGGCTGCGTCCTCGTCACCACCGTCGCGGTACTCACCGCCAGTGGCCGCCGGAATCGCGCAGCCGGTGCAGACTTCCTTGCCCGCAACTGTGGTCGCGTTGCACCAGCGGCCGCAGAAGCGGAGTTTCGACGTGGCGTTCCTGATGGCACCGGATGACCTGAGCAAGCGAAGGCCGCGGCCAATGCAGGCTGCACAGCCCGTAGCCCGGTCTGCGTTCACCAAAGTGTCACCGGACCCGCCGTTATCACTTTCGCCGGTCTCGTCTCCGGCCACGCCACCACCCTCAGATTTTGCAGCCTACATGCACCACAGCCAGCTGCACCACCAGCAGCATCACGGTCAGCCGCAGCCACAAATCCACCCACATCCCCTTCAGTCACAGCAAGAGTGCAGCCTCAGCCCACCCCTGCCACCGGTCGCGGCGCATTTTATGTCGCCGTTTCCGCTTGGCTTCCGGTCGCCGTTCGCGCTGATGATGCCACCACGGCCGCAACCCACCGCGGTCGGCTGCAAAGACTATCCGTCGCCGCTCCAACCATCGCCTCAGTCACACCACCACCATCAGCAGCAGCCACAGCAGCAGCAGCAGCAGCAGCAGCAACACCACCACCAGCTGCAGTCGTTGTCGACACCGTCGCCGTTGCAGTTCGGGCAGGCGGCGGCAGCGGCAGCAGCCGTGGCCGCTCTCCCGGCGATGCTGTTACCCGCGTCCATTGCCGCAGCAGCTCTTACATTACCTTCACAAAACGTGTGCGCCAAGTGTAACGTGAGCTTCCGCATGACATCCGATCTGGTGTACCACATGCGGTCCCACCACAAGGGTGGTGATGGAAACGGTGGCGTTGGCACCGGCAGCGGTGTAGGAAGCGGTGTTGGTGGCGGGGTTGGTGTAGGAGGCACGGGTGTCGGTGTGGATGCCAAGAAACGACGTGACATGGATAAGCTCCGGTGTCCGGTGTGCGACGAGAGCTTCCGGGAACGGCACCACCTAACGCGACACATGACCGCGCATCAGGACAAGGAGGGCGACCGGCTGGACGACGAGGACGACGTGCCGTTGCAGCAACAGCACCACCAGCTGCACCAGCACCAAGGGGCCAAATGACGCAAGGCGGCCGCGGGTGGACGGAGGCGTAACGCCTCGTACTCGCGCTTCGCGAACGATCATCGCGTTTAGAAGATTCCTCATCTCCTCGGCATTTATACGCCAACCCTATCCCGTCACATCGACCCACCCGTTCCTCCATCCACATTGACCGAATCTTACTGTTTGTACGTTTAAGTACAAACGATTCATGTTATCAAATTATGATTCAGTAGGTAGCCTCCAATATACCGCAAACGGTGCGTAGTGATATACCAGATGTTCGAATGGTATCACATAAACTTACGTCGTAAGTGCACGAAAAACCAAAACTAACCACATATATATTATTATATTATTATAATTCCAGGTTCCCCGCACATGAAGATCTCTTCACTCAGAAGACTCTTGTAATTGTTACTTATATATATATATAGACTAACCCGTGTTAACATACACCTACTTAGGTTTTAGTTGATTTATTGAGTTTTTCTTACGAACGATTAACAGTGATTTTAGGTACTTACAATTATTACCCGATTTGATTTTTGAAATCACAAAACACTAAATACATTTTAACGAAGATTGGACCCGTTATTGACGCTTAAACAACTATCGACATCTCAATATAACATTATAATACGTTTTATGTATCGAAATTATTTTTAATTTATATTATACAACCACATATTATAACCTAAATATAGAAACGGACCTATTAACCGCGATTAATACAATACATAATATTAAATTATAATAATATATCGTAATTTCTTTTTAAATGTATACATTGTTCGTATTATATTTCATTCAGATCTCGTAATCTTAGTTGTTGAGATTTGTTTTATAGAATTAAAATTATAATCAGGCAAAGCGATGGAAAGTAGATGCCTCACTGGTGTTTTTTGTACACATGTGTTTTTCGTATGTTATAGAATTGTGTAGCTTAATGCGAATTCGCGTTTAAATAGGATTAAAAATTAACTGCGTTCAAGACGGTCATATAATTTTCAATTACTTTGCATGGATAATATGAATATTTTTTTTATATTACTCGAATTCGATTTTAGCCGGTCTTGTAGTTTTCTTTTTTTGCGAAGCATATACATATACATATACTTTACCCTCTAATGCGAAAACAAGGGTGACCATTAGGGTCGACAAAAATGACAAATGTCCATACAAATCACAGTCGAATACGAGTAATAATTAACCGTGTCCACGAGGGTTGGTCGACGAGGGGTGGGGATAAATTTAATTCTGTAATGGGGTCCGATAAATAGATTAAAATGCCCTTTTGGCCTTAATAAATATTGTCACGTGATCACTGTTTGTATAATTTTAGTATTAAAATTAAATGGACCGAAATCAAATGATAGCGATTTTAAAATGCATCTCTCTATAATATTACATCTGTATAGGGTTACCTAGCTATATATCCACGCACAACATTTTCCCTACGTGATATCACTTCATGACGTATGCAGTGAACTCAAAAATCTAGTATAGATGTATGCGTGGGCGTGTGTATATTATGATTGTTACTAATTTTTTTGATAAATAGTAAAATATAATATTTAGTTAGTCTGTGTATCATCGTTCAATGATAATGTTCCGATAATAATTTTAGGCTCCATATCCTTTGTTCGTAAATAATATTATGCATATTATTCGTATTAATTAGGTAGATACTATATTGAATGTAATATTGGTTCGTAATATGTTTTAAATTTAAATATAACTTCAGCTAAATATTAATCGAGTGTGTCAATATATTAATATAGTAGAGTTTAAGTGTATTTTCAATTGTATAAATATTATTTAATCTAAATATTGTTACTGAAATTGATCGTTATTTAGCATTTTAATATTTCTTATTTTGTTTTATGTTAAAATATGTTTCATATTATGTCATAATATAATATAACCATTAGATACATAACATAATTTATTATTATATCTTCTTTTGCTATATATGCATAGAAAGTAAAGTGTCTGAACTGTTATTTGCTAAATTATTGTTAGTATTGATTAGAAAACCCTGCTGATAATTTAATTTAAAACTAATAAATTAAAGTTTCAAAATATAAATTTGTTATTTTTGTGTGGGTGTGTCTACACTCTTTAAAATATATTCTATCTTTCCCAATCATTCCTATATGTTTCCATTAAATAATTATTTTGAAGAACAATGTGTCTATTGGTATATTACTAGTAAGATGAATATTCAGTAATATAATACTATTCGAATTTTTACTCATTGTTTATATTGATTATTCTAATTTCAATACTATTTTATTAATGTGGCATTAGAGCAAGAGTTTATTGTTCGCATGCTATAATAAAGGATATATAAATAAAAAAATATCAAATTTTCCATCAAAATGTATTTTAAAAAAATTCAAATTTTTCGAATGTTTATAAATAGTTTGAAACAAATCAAAAATATTGAAAATTTCATACTTCTTCAGGTAAAAATTTTACCCAAAGTTTTCCAAGTTTGTACCATTAATATTTTTTGCACAACAACAATAATATCTAAAATTATTCGATTATAAATTATCTTTTTATGAATGAATAATACCTGTTGTCCAAATTATAACTAAAACCATAAAAATATAATTTGATGAATCATGATGAATATATTTTTCAGTATAGTACCTACAACAAAATAATTTACATTATTTCGTGATTTTGACGAATTTTATAAAATAATATAGCGGAAATACTTCCGTTTTTGGTAATTTATTTTCCCCAAGAAACGTTAAAAGTACTTTGAATTTCTTACTTTCGACCTTTAAAAGTACAAGTTCAACTGGATCCAAATTGCTACTCAGTATTGAAGCATCTATTTGGTATAACCTTTAGGGTTAACATCGAAATACATAAAGTCGCTATTCGAAAGACGTCCAACGCTATCATTATTCTACAGTTGGAAGAAAAACAAATCAATCCTAAGTGCCATCTTATCAGGCACCTTTCAATTCAAAATTTGTGACGTATAAATGTATAATATTGGTACACAATAAGCCAATATAGGCAATATAGCACTTATATTATAATAAGCTTGTATACTACATAGTTACTTCTATTACTAATAATATGGTCTTAAGGAATGTTGTTTGGTGCTTTGCTATACCCTCCAACTAAATAATGTTACGATCTTTTCAAGCAATAATATGCCTCCGTATTTCGTATCATCACCAAAGCTTCGTCGTTTTTTTAAATTAAATTTTTCATTCAAACATAAATAAATATAAATATATGAGAACAAAACCCTTGTAATTCATTATGTACCTCAATTTCATTTAAAACTTCATTTTCAATCAAATCCTCACGTCTAGAAACTGTCATGTGAAATTTTCCTAGGTTATCTAGAAAAACTCTTAAACTGGAATTGGCCCAAAGATCTACTTAACAAAATTCAGTTAAGCGTGTTTAAAACTGAGTGTTATAAACTCAAATTTTTATTTATTAGATTCAAAAGCACTGTTGTTTTAAAAAGTTTTTATTTTTGTACACATAAGTCATAAGTAGTTTGTAAATATTAACAAACAAAGCTATATTCGAAAATAAAATCAGAAACACTCTTATGGAGAAACTGTGAGTATAGATACTGAGAAACTTGAAAGGTTACCGATGAAAATATACCATTAAGATAAGTTTTCCAATGCTTGGGGTGCACCATGAAGCTTTTTAAAATGCTAAAAAAAGCTTTGTAAAACAACCCCATTAGGTAGGTTTTGCTTGATTATATCCAATTTACTACGTCGATAATACTAAAAAATAAAAATAAAAATATAAGTATCTTAAGTATGAAATAATTATACGTAACTCACATATATTCAGTTATATTATTGTGATTGACAAATACTATAAATATTAGCAATATATGAAATGCAAAAACCCACATATTAAGTTCTCGGTTTCTAAATGAGTTTTAATACAATACAAAAAATTATTATTTCATTTATAACAACTTATCTATAAATCAACAATGCATATCAATACAATCGTAACTATGCACCGGTAAGTTGATAACTAACGGTCGGAAAGGTGGACAGGCGGACGGACACAACAGGTATATCAAGTTTAAATACGTTTAAAAACCTAATAGTACATAAATTAATTCTAAACATCAACAGGAAAAAATGAGGATAATCACAAATTCGTAATATATCAATGTTATGCGAACGAATTAAACAATTTAAAAAGAGTTAAATGTTTACCAACGGACCATACATTTACTGCTTTATTACTTTCTCTCTCTCTCTCTCTCTCTCTATATATATATATATATATATATATATATATATAGTACGTGTCATTATTTACAATGCTGTTTATATAATATAATATAAAACGAGACGTAACGCCCTAACAATATAGGTGTCGTACCCTGTAAACTTCTAGCGAAACAAACACTAAATATACGATAAGCCAAAGTTCAACTTGAACATTTGTTGTTTTTATTGCGATCGTACCGCTACAATAATTTACTTTTAAACCATGACAGGTTCAATTTTTTTTTATCCATCTTCAAACCAAATCGGGTCCCCGGTTGATCATAAAACAATAGTGCGTTATTATTATTACTTTGCGCGAGTTTTTCACATTTCTATTGAATGTATAATTTGTTCGTGAAATACCAGCACAGACGTCTTATATAAAAATGCAAAAATCAAAAATCCGTCGTAAAAAAAAATGTATAATATAGAAACTTCGAGTTTTTATTGTCTCGTCTCATCTGAGGGTTTGGGGAAATATCTTATAGACCGTCGTAAAAAAATAAAAAATAACACGCGCATCCTGCCTCGTCGTTGTCTATCTGTGGCTGGCGCTCTCCGCCGTCTCCGTCTCTATCGCTCACCTCTCTCTCTCTCTCTCTCTCTCTCTTATCATACGCCATCCATATTGACCGAGGGCACCGAGAAAACCCTAACGACTATTACCGCAGATGACCATAAATCACATATATAACCCCCGCGCGTTCCTTCGCATATTTTTTCGGAGAGAGCGCCGCAAGAGGGGGAAAAATGGAGAAAAAAAAAGTGAAAGATACTCACACTGCACACACATACACACACTCGTGCCCGAACGCAAGTCCTTAAGGTCTCCTCAGTCGAGTATAATAATATGTGCGTGTGTGTGTAAGCTCGAGCTCGCGCGTATGGCGTGGGGTGTGGAGGTCAATAAAAGTGGAAATCTACAAGACGGAGCCTGGCGGCGCTATTCATGGTGGCCGGAACGGATGACGCCCCGCGCGTTATGTGTGTTATATCCTTCTTCTTCTTATTCTCCATCTTCTTYATCGTCTCCTTCTCCTCCTGCCCTTTTTTTCCTGCCACTACGTACAATATACAAACAGCCCTCCATACCACCACCGTCTTAACCTTACCCGCCGCCATTGCGAATATATACACACACATCATAATATTATACGCGTATATACGAGTACATACGTACACGTATATTATTATTATTATTACTATGATATATACATGTGTGTGTGTGTGTGTGTGTGTGTATTATATATCCCTGTCCGATATAATACACCACCGCGGTACGGGCTGTACGAGTAGATAACAGCTGGAAATATAAATCCCTCTGAGATGAAAAACAACCCCTACCACCACGCCGCGCCTGGCCGACAAACCGCGAGTAATTTCTTGCGCACACGCTTTTAAAAGATTTATTAATAATATGGTATATCCTCTTATATATATAATATATATGTACATATATACCTAACGATATATTTATTATATACCCTTGGCCTCCGTGTACACTGATTGCAATGTATAGGTATTGCGTGAATAACCACATCATATCACTATATAGTCATGGATTTCAGAATACTTTATATTAAATGCTTAACCTACAATTACTTATAAAATATTATCGTGAAAAATTTTCATTTATTTATGCATATTGCAGAAGAACGCTTTAAATTCAAATGTTTTTACTGTTTTATGTAGGTAATTACTAATTAATGTAATTTGGAAAATATTTGTTGTGGAATTATGGATTATAATATGATTGTATAGATACAGATTTGGGAGTGCTTAGGGAGCTTACCTCATCCTAGATGCTATAGAAAATTTTAAAAGCTCTTCCAAAGTTATAATAGTAATTATTGGCAATTTAGTTAATAAATTAAGTATTAATTGGCTCACTTTGTGTAGGTAGATATTTTCTCCTAAAATGTAATCGAATCTCCAGCTTTGACTATACATTTATACCTATTGTATTTACAGACATAAATCCCTTTTTTTTTTGCTTAAATAGTGTGTTAATAAATTGCATGTTTATACAATAGTATGATTGTTATCACTCTCTAGTAGTTTATTACTTAATAGTTAATTGTATTAAAAAAGAGTCAAGAGGTTGAAAAAAAAATAGATTATATGATAAATAATATTAAAAGATTATTCGATTATGACTAGTAACAAAATAATATATGTATACGTATATATTTATATATCAATAATTTTGCAATAGGTTAGTATATTTGATATAATATATTTGTATTTTAATTATTAATCCTTAACAATAATAAAATCGAAATAGGTAAATCGTCATATATTGGCTTATCCATAAGAATAAAAGGATGAAAATCAATATTATGTACTATGTATAGGTACATTTTTCTTTAGAATTACTGCTGATATCATTAGTGTATGAAGGTGTTCATAAAAGTGATATTTATGTGTTTCATAATTTAAGAGGATGCTACACTTCCATTTTTGTCTCCGTTTTACAAGTGCATAACATACTAAATTTACGCTCAGCAGATCACGTTTAGCTCCGTTAGTTTAAAAATT